TTGCGAACGATTTTTCTCGGTCACTTACGCGATGTAACTCACGCGTCATTTTGATTTTGCAGTTTATATTTCTGCAGTGTCTGCATTTATAGTCTTTAAATTAGTATTTATGCTAAGAACAAGAAAAAATGACAAATGAGGTCTTTCTTTGTATTTTTTGCCGTTACTTAATGCATTTAAGTACAGTTAAGGAAACAAATTCTTCGACTTTGGTTTACCTTTTTCCGGAAATGCCCATATGCCATTTAATGCATATGCACAGCATGTATTATTTTCCAAACTTTGAATAATCGTTGATTTAAAACAACTTCTGTTTGACTTACTCTAATCATCTTGCGCCCAATTTTCTCGTAATAAAACAAACAACATTTTTCTGATTTCTTTGAATTATTTTTTATGTTTATTAAAAAGCAATGATGTAAAATCACAACAACAAAATAATAATACAAATTCAACATAAAGATACTTACTCGGTTAATTCAGTCCTTCCATTATCCCATTATCACAGATATGTGTTGGTTGTTGTATAGCTCTCAATTGTATTTTCGAAATACAAAAAAATTGAACATCTCCTTGTATTTATCATCACAAGTTTCTGAGCTTGAAAAAATATTTAGAACATATATATGTACATAAATCTTCAATAGATATTTAACGCAAAGCAAAACTACGGAAGGAAATAGCCGAAAATTAACGCAAAAAACTTTTAAATAATAAAATAATAGGTAATTAATTAGAAAGTATAATAATTAATACGAAATCGTATACAACAAAACGATATACATACGTATATAGTTATTTGTTTAGTATGTAGTAATATTAAAAGACATTGGTATATCCAAAAGTATGTTTGTTAGAATCAACGCAATATAGTCTTAAGTTTGAAATGCTAATTGCGATAGGCGCCAAAAGCTGTGCGCGAGCATATTTTTTTCGTCGGCAGTTAATCACGTTGGGTATATACTAGGGTTTATGTTCATAGATAGAGATTTGTAAATAAGAATTTGTGTAAACAACAAACACAATTATAGATATATTTAAAAGTAATTGACAAATAACAAATATCTATATGCCTTCGTAAATGGAGTGGCAAATTCAATTCTATTTAGAACTCATGTAATTTTTGCATTCGACTTCTGTTGCCAAAGTCTTACCACCACTCCACCTACAAACTACAAAATCTTTGTAATTAAAAATATATAATATTGTATATCTATAGCTCTTACATATTTAACAAATCTTTAGGATATTAGTTAATACGAAATTCCAGAAAATAAAAAGGCCTATGAACACAATACTCTACTCTTGTATAAAATAAATATGTATAGATCCTGTTCATAGTATTACTAATATTCTTATTATTTTTGTATACTATAATCAACAATAAATTAAATGGCTGTACACATATTTTATTTATTCCTATTTAAATTAGGTTTTTGTAAAAAAAAAACAACACGCACACATAAATAAAAAATAAAACTATTTTAATAGTATTGGTTTCTTTTTTAATTTAATATAAATTTATATATTTTTTTAAAATACTCTTATTGAATACAATAAACTGTACAAAATATTTGAAGGAGCTTGTGTCCACTTTGAAGATAAAACAATAGTTATTGTTGGCATCCTCCTCATCCTGTTTGCTCAAGTACCTCCAAAATAGATGTCGTACGTAAAACACGTAACTCCTCACTTGATGCAAAATAAAACTATTTTTGGGTTAATTCGATTGTTGTTCTCAAAAGTTTATGTAGTAGTACTGCTGTTGCTGCTGCTGCGGCTTGTCATTAGGATTATTATGATCACATTAGAACTTCATTACATACTCTTAATTAAGTATTGTATATAAGGAAAATACATATTACATATATATTTGAGATAGTACTACCTATATAAAATAAAGAAAAGTATATGTGTAGTAAAATACATAGCAAATTAATTATAGTTATATGATATATTTATTTTTGTGTTGTTCGGCATAGTTCGTAAAGTTATGTGTTTAAACCAAAAATATATTTGATTTATATATAGCATTATTATTTCCTATTAAAAATATATACTAATTTAAACTTGTAACAAAATGTTGATAACTGAGATACATAAGTATGTGTACAACAATATGAAACTTTCGGATGTTTGGATAAAATACATGAATAATTTTAAACCCCGATATACAGTATGAAAGTTTTACCCATAACTGTATTGTTATTACCAATGTCTGATAATTTGCAATAACACTTAATGCTAGGTGGAGAATAAAAGATTAATTTGAAGCTATAAATCTATAAATTACAAAAATGTACGTATCAAAGAAAACTAAAATCAAAAAATAGAGTGGGGTCAAAAATATTAATGTTATATTTATATTTGCTTTGCTTTATATAAAATTGTTTTAAATAGGCAAGCATAGCTTTAAGAAAAATCCATTAACGAGTATACCTCATTAGGGGGATATAATTAACCCTTTCAGTGTCAACAAAAAATTTTGTCGGAATAAAAATCCAAAATTTTGTATTTAAAATTATATTTAATATCATATCATAACAAAAATGTCATTTTCATTTTAACCCTGGACATCAATAGTTACGGTACATAGGATAACCTATGTAATTTTAAATGTCGAATATATTCGACTAAAATTCCAGGGTTAATAAATGCCGCATAACTTTTTCAAAAAATAAAGATATAGTGTTGATTTTTTCAGTTTCGAATCGGCTTCTTTGTTCACTTTGTTTGCCTTAGGGAGCAGAGCAGAGCCTATGATCCCTGATATGACGACCCCTCTAACGCTGGGGTGGTAAGAGGCTATGCCATAGTTGACGTCAACCCTTCACTAAAAGCACTTTCTATGGAGCCGAATTTTAATAACCAGGTGAGTCCTCCCAGATGATGAGTAGCGGTGAAAACCCTGGCGAGGTTGAGGATCCGAACTCCATCTCCATGGCATGTTTGTAACAGGCAAAAGGAAACTAAATAGACACATGTTTCCTTTTGAGAATATGCCTAGAATCACTTTTTAAGTCGTTTTATGCATGTCCGTCCGTCTGTCAGTTTGTCCATGTTAAACAAAGTACAGGTCGCATTTATAATCCGATTTAGATGAAATTTGGTACAGCTTATTTGTTTGGCCCATCGACTAACCCTATGGAAATTGGGCAAAATCGGTTCATATTTAGATATAGCTCCCACATATATTTTTGTCCGATTTTATGTAAATTGTACACCAAAGTTCCTATATATCTTTCGATTTACACTAAATTTGGCATAGCGTACTGAATGAAGTCTAAAAAGATGTGTGTTAAGTTTCGGGAAAATCGGTTCATATTTCGATATAGCTCCTATATATATTTTTAGCCTGATTTAGTATAAATGGTGCACCAAAGTCCCTACATATCCTTCGATTTACACGAAATTTGGCATAACGTACTGAATTGAGTTTAGAATGAAGTGTGCTAAGTTTCATGAAAATCGGTTCAGACTTAGATATAGATCCCATATACATTTTCGTCCGATTTAATGAAAATGGTACACCAAAATCCCTATATATTTTTCGATTTGCACGAAATTTGGCGTAGCGTACTGAATGAAGTCTAGAGTGATTGAGTCTAGAATGATGTGTGTCAAGATCCGGGAAAATCGGTTCAGATGTCGAAATAGCTTGCAAATACATATATATTCGTCCGATTTTACATAAATGGTGCACCAAACTCCTAATATTTGTCCAAGTAACACAAAATAACGTTATTGCGTTTTGTTGAAATTGATGCAGATGCAGCACCAACGGATGACTGATTAAAATTACATTTTTAACAGTGCGGCGTACCGAATAGCGTGTATCAATTTTGCTATAAATTGTTTTCCAGAAAATTGTTCCGTGGTACACAGACGGCTCTAAATCTGCCTGAATGAAATTAAATTTATCATAGATTGCAGAAAGACATGAGTATGTTACTTCGAGGAATATTGGCATGCAATTGTAAGGATATACAGTGGTGGTCACGTAATTAAAACATTTTCTGTGATACACATTTTTTGATCAGCCCTCAAGATTCGTTGAAGTATTTAAAAAAAATGTTTAATACAGAACACTTAGATATACTGCACTTAAGAGATTAAGTGTGATTATTGCATGCAATTTTTCTATAAATAACGGCTTTTATGAAAACACATCGATATTGAAGCGCCCACGTAATTAAAAAAAAAAAACTCTTTGGTACATATATTCTACACTCCACCTGAGACTAATTCTAATTCGAATACGAATTTCTAAAAACCCAGCCTTATCACTCTAAATTTCGAAATTCTATCTTTAGCCGTTTCATCAGGGCATTGATGAATCGTTTAGTCAGCCAATCACAGTTCAAACACATGCCCAAACACCGAATGAAGGAGAGTGCCATTGAAAAGGCTAACCCCAATATTGATAATTTTTAATAGAGCGATTTTCTACCCAATGAGAATTCTATTCTAAATAACAGTCAATCTGATTAGAAACGATTACTATATGGGGTCTATATCAAAACGTTGTTCGATTTACATCCCATTTGCAATACCAAACATCCTAGAAGTACTACTTCTTCTAGGATGTTTGGATAGTGATTTCAATAGGCAATATATGGGCTGCAAGAGAACACTATAAAATTCTAGTCCACTAAAATTCCGAATTGCAATTTAATCCCGAATTTGTTGCTAATAATGCATATACGAGTATATTATATATATATATATATGATTTAGAACATTTATATAGAACTTTTGATATAGATTTTTTTTAACGAAGTTATAAAGAGGTAAAATATATAGAGCATTTAGCTTAATAATGAATTTAATTTAATATCAAATAAAGGAAAGGTGTAAAAACAAAGCTATTAGCTTAACAGAAAAAAGGGAACATACTAGTATCTAATATGGTAAACACAACAAACGAACGAACCACATTTTTAAAGCGTAAAAACGGTATGCAATACTTACCAAAATCTCGTCCCCAACACACAACAATTTTAAACGGTGTATGGATTCATACGATTTCCTTGTAAACTATTATTTTTCTGTGGTCCGCCATTATAGGATTGCTGATAGTTGCCAAATTGTTGCGTGACAGGTGGCGGTACTGCCGCTGCTGGTGATGCAGTAGCTGTCCAACCACCACCATTTGTGGCTGGTGGTGTATTGTAATTAACTGGTGCCGGCGCTGCCGGTGTACCATTCCACGCACTAGCAGTTGGCGCACTATAGCCACCTTGATTCCAGGCAGTAGGTGTCGCAGCATAGGCTCCATTCCATGTTTGTTGTGTTGCAACATTTTGTACAGGCGCCGCAGTATATGCACCATATCCCGCCGCCGCTGGTGGTTGAGGATATGCGGAATTTGGGGCCGGCGGTGCAGGTGGATAACCCCAACCAGCATAAGCTTGTGGCGGAGGATAATTATAGGGTGTTTGAGGATATGCTGCATGTGGATATGTACCAACAGCAGCTGGATCTCCTGGTGGAACGGGCGTTGCGGCATTACCATTTTGTTGTTGCTGTTGTAGTGCTAATCTTTTTGCTTGTACTTGTTTATAATTTGATTTTTTAACATCAACAAGCATATACTTGATAGTATGAGTTTTTCGCACTAAAAATAATCATTTCAAATTGAAAAATCCTACTAAATAGATGTTCTAGATTTTTTATAAGTCAATATTTTTTGGTACTTACACACAACCTTATCGACGGCATCATAATCATCAAATTCTACAAAAGCAAAGCCTCGTTTACGGCCAGTATTTTTATCTACCAGAATATTTATTGATACAACTTTGCCGAATTGCTGGAAATATTCACGCAAAGCTTCTTCGTCGTGATAGTCTTTGAGACCACCAACAAAAACTTTTCTAACCGAACCATTAGCTTCATTTTTTGCAGCTTCAGCGGTGCGTGGCAGGGCACGCTTAGTATCTATTGTTCTAGAAGAATAATGTAAATGGAGAAAGTCAATGAATTGAATATATCTGTGTAGAATAATGTGTTTGTTTCATCACTCACCTTCCATCGACAACGTGTGGTCTAGCCGCTTGTGCCTTATCTACACTTTCCGAAGATTTAAATGTAATAAATCCAAAACCTCTGGAGCGTTTTGTTACTGTATCACGCATAATAATGATATCTTCTATTTCGCCAAATTGATAGAAAAAGTTCCGAATCATATCCTCATTGGTGTTGGGCGTTAAGCCACCCAAAAACATTTTACGTAGATGATCATCGTTTTGTGTAGTGGCCGCAGCAGCAGCAGGAGGTTTGACCTGTGAAACCAAGGTTAATTATAAAATACAATATTATTATTATTGTTAATTTAATTATGATGAGTAATTAAAAGCGATACAACTTTTTTGGATTGCAACAACAATACACAAGAAATTTGAAAGTATGACGAATTGTTGACAAGAATTTCTCTTTTTAAAGAACTGTGTTTCCCCGTCAAAAAATAATTAATTAAAAGTTCTGTATAATTGAAAAAAATATCATGACTATAATTTTCTAATAGTGAATTGACAATTGTAACATTAATAATATCTATTCAATAATTCCACGAATGTGTATGACACCTGTTTTATTAGAAATCTACATCGCATACATGCTTGGGTGTGTTTGGGTAGGGTGGTATAGTAGTAGTTAGCGGTGTATCTGAATGACGAAACGTGTACACAAAACACGTCTGTATGCATGTATGTATGTTCCGATTCCTAAACAAAGCAAAAAATCTACTGAACATGCTTTCGTCATCAATTGTTTTGTTTAAATTTGTTTTTCTTTTATATACAAATACATATATCGATTATAAAATACCTCATTCTGTTCTTGATTTTCGTAAGACATAATAAGAGATTTTTTTAGAATTTATATAAATATTTAATAAACTTTTACTGCGTTCACGGTAATAAAACAAACTTAAGACGACTATATGACTGTGAGGGTACAATCAACTAATTATAATGGCACTATCATAGACCATAGGAAAAAAGGTTTCAATTACAGTGTTGTAATTAAAAGTAGGTTTTTGTGTGTTGATAAGTAGTAACTGCACACAAAAATGGCAAGATGTTTTGGCACATCTTTATGCCGGTAGATTGACCAGCTGATTATTAGATTAAGTCAGAAAATATTTTGACAGATGAAAAAAAACAAGCAACTGGATTAAACGTCAAACAATACTGCTTATCAGAGAAATGTAAACAAAAACAACGCAATATTGGCTTTTGAATATTGTTAAACTGCATTTTAACTATATTTCTCTATGTTTTTTTTATAATATTGGTTATTATTAATTAATTTCATTATATTGAGACAATACTATTTTTTTAAATCTACTAGAGCTAAATGCGTGTATACATTTTTTATTATTTTTGGTGATTCATTAGTCGATTTTTTTTGAAATATTTAAGGTATTTTTTAGATCATTTTAAACATGTATTAAATGAAGACTAATATATTTTTTTAAATTATGTTGGTGGAAATATATATTCATTGAAGTTATATCAGTAGTATAAGTGTGGATTTTTAAAAATGTCGCTAAAAATTTTTAATTTTTTAGAGGTTTTAAACTATTGATTATTTCATTTAAGGTTTAAATTGAATAATGTTTACTACGTTGAAAATATATATACATATGTATATTGTGGTTTTAGGGGTTGTATATTTACAAATGATTATTAGAATTAGTTCACCCTTTTTTTGTTAAAAAAAAAAACATTTGTTTCGGACAAAATACATTAATCAATCTAAATGATGCTGCATATTGTACTTTATTATCCGATTTTACTTTACATCACATTTAGGCAAAGGATATAATTACACGTTAAAGGTTGATAGGTAGATTTTATAACTAGTGAGGATTTAAAATACTTAATTGCAGCAAATTTGATACATGGAAAATATTCTAAAACTCTTCAAAATACCGAAATTTGGGATACACCGTTATATGAGCGGATAATAACAAATTACATCAACTTCGGTTGTCCAAATATGTTATTCTAATCAAGAAATAATAAAATCTGTAAATTTTTTTCAAAAATAATCATATGATGTTTTTTTTTAGTTTTTAATCGCATACTTTATTCACTTTTAAAGTGACAAAAGCATAAACGATCCATCCATTTTAAAATACATATTAAAGTATGGAAAAGGAAATTGTCTCAATGTTTGCTTGGACAAAACTAAAACAACTCTACTGTACAAAGCCCAGCATAGAGCAAGAATAGAGCCAATCTGACAGAAAGCTCAGGTTAATTTGAGCCAGACTCAATGAAGAAATATGTGCTCGGATGAATTAAAGTTTACTGGGAAGCAATAATGATATTTAGTTGTTTTTCTTTTTTATCGAATTCGATCTATTTACGAGAGTAATGGGTCAGATTGTTTATGCATACACATGTGTTGAAAACGTTATGGTTTCCTTCGCTGAAGAAAATATACCGCTTGTTTGTCCATTTCAGCTTGAGAATGACTACAAATATTCGCCGAAATATGCCAAACATTGGTTGCGGTAGTAAAAAATCAGGGTTTTATAATGGCCAGCAATATCATCAGGTTTTCACCATAAGAAAAAACTTTGGAGTCTGACACATAGCAAAATCATAAGAGATTCACAAAGAAATAAAAATAACCTCTTCCAAGGATCAAATTGAGCGTATTATAGATTCAATATCCCATCAAAAATAATGGTTACGCTGTCGATTACCAGCAATTTTTTTCTTATTTAAAAGAAAGAAATAAGAAGTTGCTTTAGTTTTGAACAAGCAAAATTCCAAAAGTCCATAGAATAATTTTTTGCATTTATATTTTTGTTTTTCAAAAAATGAATAAATTACCTATTTGTTTCCGAAAAAATATTCAGTTTGCAATTTAGGTTTTTTTTTTGTTTTGGCATACACTGGTGGTCAAAAGTGAAGCGACTGGGGACCCCCGTAAATTTTATATACTATATATTTAATGTTTAATTCAATTTATAGCTCTGGCATAATAAAAAAATAAACAAAAGTCTAGGTTTATAGCTCTGATATAACATCAAAAAATATATTTAAAAAATCTTCTTATAGCTTTAATAAAACCTCAAAAGTAGTAGTAGTAGTAGTTTGGAGTAGTTCAAATTCAATTATATTTTTTTAATGTACGTATGTATGTTAATTTTTTTTATATTTGTGATACAAATTATTTAGATAAAAACACAACTCATTTTTATATATAATAATTTTCCATTCCATTCCTACTGGAGTAGTCATAATCCAATTAATCAAATTTTTTAATCATAATCTATAATAATCAAAAACTTTTTGTTTTGTAATTTAATCGGTATAATATTCTTTAGTAGTTCAATATCCCTCCCTTTTACATTTAAGCCGCTTAATAAGATAAATTTTATATTTAATTGTGAAATGTAGCTTACAGCCTTAAGGTCGAAAGACTGGGCACTATGAAATATATAAATAAATAAAAAATAAAATAAAAAATATGGCATTTTTCACAATAACTGCAATAGATTTTCGAAAAGGGCAATTTATCCATACATTTTGAGATATGGGCCTCTTAACTTTCGCTGAGAATCTTGTATTTGTTCTTCCACTGGAATAGTTATATAGACACTATAGGGTGTCAGATGCAGATATGTAATACAGTCGAATCCGCTTAATTGCAAATCGTTTAATTAAAAACTTCGGTTGCACGGTTTAAATAAAAAATCGGTTAATTGACACCATAATTAACCCCAAAAGGATATGTTTCTTTGAAAACGCCTTCGCTGAATTAAAGAATTTAAACATATTCCTGCCAGAAAATACGATTTAATTAATTCAGCGCATTGATCCGGGGATCATTTGATCTTTTCAACTATTTCTGCACTTGGAATGTGGATTTTCTGTTTAAAAAATTCCCAAACGAAAAAAAGAATTGGTCTGGGAGCCGAATAGAGTTTGATTTATTTCTGGTATTTATAAATATTTATGCCAGAAAATACGATGTCATTAATTCAGGGAAAAGAGCAGACGATCTTTTCAATTATTTCTGCACTTGGATATATATATATATATATTGGGCGAATGGGTTAACATGGATGCAGATGTTTCAAAAATGTGGATTTATTCCTTGTATTTTAATAGATAATCCTCAAACCCCTACTATATTTTCCATAAAAACTTTCCCGGACTTAGGAGTTTAATAAATATAGCATTAAAATAAATTTTTCGTAGTAAATAATCATTTAGTTTGAGGAATAAACATATGTACATAGATGCAATGTAGCTTGCTTGAAATAGTATATACATACATATCTCTCTATGCATTCTGATTGAAGGGTAGTTTCTTCCGAAAAAATGCGTCCTTATTACATAGAATACATACGAAGTGTATGTATGTAGCGTGGCTGTACACAATATGTTGACATATGGCGTATAACCATTTGTAGGAAACTTCTACCTGACACCCTTTCCGTTCCTTTTGGGATTTCTTTCATCGATTTGTTTCTAAAATAATAATAACTTTGTGATGGAATAAATATTACCTGATCTTTGTCTTCAGTTTCGTACGAATCATTGAGTATTTCTTTCTTTATCATATTTGTTTTAGCTCAAAATTGTAATTTTTTGTATTAGAATAGAATTTTTTGTTTAAGAAAATAGGAACTTTTTTGTTGTTGTTTTTGGGAATGTCTTTCAAAATTTCGACAATATGGTTTCTGGAGATTGAAAACGAAATTCGACAGAGTTTTAAAAATCGCTTAAGTGCTAATGCTATTTTTGTAGGTTATACGAGCGTACAGTAGTAGCTGGCGGCAAAACCTTCATTTAAATAAGAAAATATATGTATCAATTTATTTTCGTTTCTTATTATATTTAACTAACATGTATAAAATTACATTACTTAAAATTAAAATTAGTTGTAATTATAATTCTAAATTTATCCCTTGTTGTAGCCCATGACAATATTACACAAAGTCTCTTGAAGACACTATTATTTTATGCATTATAATTATATATTATATTTGTAATATATATAACCTTAGCATATATATATATATATATATATATACAAATATTAAATATTAATTAAACAAATTTATTTTTTGTATGTCCCAAAATATACGTTTTAGCAGCTGTGCGCCAACCCCTACGCCGCACATGTGTTTAGTGAACCATCGAATACCGAGTAACCAAATGTATAAACTTGGCAGCACTTATGCACTATTTCCGCTTCTGTACATCAGCTCTTTGGGTGTAGATATTTTTCATCTGAATCATTTATAGTTAAAAGGTTGAACGGGAAACATCTGAAGGTTACGCGTTCTCTATCGCAAAAAAAGAAATATATTATTTTTAAAGTGTGTTTTAAATTTGTAATCTAAAAAAAGCCGGAAAATAAAAATGACTAACCAAAACGGAAATCAACAAAATGGCGACAACAACGATGTAAGTATTTTGTATTAAAAAATACATAATTCTATTTTTTTCGTATGCCAATTCATCCAAATTCATTCGTCCAGAATGTTCGTGTACTGCCATAGAAAGCAATACAAAATCCGCCATTTTGTATTTTCATTTCTGCCGATTATACATTGATGTAATAATGAATGCTGCAATATTAATTTTGTTTTCATTTTTATTTTATTAGGAACAAATCACCGAGCCCGAGCAATTCCGTAAATTGTTCATTGGCGGTTTGGATTATCGCACCACCGATGAAGGTCTGAAGTCTCATTTCGAGAAATGGGGTCGCGTTGTCGATGTTGTTGTAATGAAAGATCCCCGCACCAAGAAATCACGTGGTTTCGGCTTCATCACCTATTCCAAATCCTCAATGGTTGATGATGCCCAAAATGCCCGTCCACACAAAATTGATGGACGCGTCGTTGAACCCAAACGCGCTGTGCCACGTCAGGACATTGATAATCCCAATGCCGGTGCCACTGTTAAGAAAGTGTTTGTTGGCGGTCTTAAAGACGAACACGATGAACAGTGTTTGCGTGACTATTTCAATAAATATGGAAACATTGTTGAAATCAATGTTGTTATGGACAAGGAAACCGGCAAGAAACGTGGTTTCGCTTTTGTTGAATACGATGACTACGATCCCGTTGACAAGATTGTGTGTAAGTAGAAATGAGTAACTTTTTTATTAATTTCTGGGGGAAAATCGATTTTCTATGTACAGTCCCAGCTCCGCATATGTATTTTTAATGACATTATGCGGCGTTTCATTGGCTGTTAGAACAAAACGTAGATTATATCTTGGTTAGGTTAGTTCCAAAAAAACAAATATTAATCTGATGAAAAGGTCTGCGTTACAATTTAAATTATAAATATCAAATGATGATGTGGGAACAAAGAAAATCTAATACCGAAAAAACTGAATATGAGAAAGTAAAGAACAAATCATGGCAAATCAGACTAGCTTCCATATAATTATGCCATGAGATAAAATCTAGCACCCACCCTTATTCGAAAATTTTGGGATAAGGGATTTTCTATAAATTTTTTTTATTTATTTTTTTGTTATTTAATTTTTATTCTTTGAAGAGGAAATTCAAATTTCGCATATTTTTTTTATTTTATTTTAATAATGTTGAATGTATTTATGTTATTTTAATTATGAGATTTCTTTTTCAAATATCTGACTAATTCTTTCTTAATTTCTTTCTTTTTATATTACAGTGCAAAAATCTCATACCATTAAAAACAAAACTTTGGATGTGAAAAAGGCATTGCCAAAGAATGATATGTCCGGTCCACAAGGTGGCGGTAACATGGGACGCGGCGGTAATATGGGCCGTGGTGGTAATATGGGTCGCGGTGGCAATATGGGCCGTGGCGGTAACATGGGACGCGGTGGTAATATGGGTAATCAAAATGGTATGGGAGGCGGCGGCGGCTGGGGTGGTAATGGTGGAAATTGGGGTGGAAACTTCAATAACGGTGGTGGTTTCAATAACGGCCCCGGTGGTAATGGCGGCGGTTGGGGTGGAAACAATATGGGACCTTGGGATAATAACGGCGGCGGTGGTTGGAACAACGGTGGTGGCAACTTTGGTGGCCCAAACAATGGCGGCAACAGCGGTAATTGGGGTAACGATGATTTCGGTGGCGGTTACCAACAAAGTTATGGCGGTGGTCCACAACGTGGTGGAAACTTTGGCAACAATCGCATGCAACCATATGGTGGCGGCAAGAGCAATTTCGGAAGTAATATGGGTAAGTTTTGAGTTTATGTTTTCAAATAGTTATTTATATTTTACAATATGTATAGCGCAACACAGTTCCCTGACCCAATTGTCGAATGTATTTCCTATTTGAACAATTCCATTTCAAAAACTGTGAGAATAAATATTACAGCGTCGGCTTTTGCTATGTTATGCGAATTATTTAACTGTATTCGTTATAACACGCAGCCTCGCTACAATTTTATATAACTCCTATACACAGATGAGAGTGACAGAATCTAAACTAAATCACAATATATATTTTAATTTAAAATCAAACTTCATATGGAATTGTTTGGCTTTTCTGAAGCACTATTTTTTGCTGCACATATGCAGATTTATGGTTCAACAACTAAATCACATCATCACAGTTCCCTGACCCAATTGTCAAATGTATTTACCTATTTGAGCAATTCCATTTAAAAACTGTGATAGTAAAAGTTACTGCGTCGGCTTTTGCTATGTTCTGTGAATTTATATACTTGTATTCATTTGTAACACGCAGCCTCGCAACAACTGCATTTCGGATACTACAATATATCGTTAGCTAAAATGCAAAAAGGCGTAACTAACAAAAACATAATTGTGTAGGGGAAGCAAAAAACGGTTTTGAATGAAAACTATAAACAAACATGTCATGTGAAATGAAAAAGTGTGCCCGGCAGTGTGATATTGCATATGACGAATAATAGACTATAATTTTTTTAACAAATTAGTTATTTAGTTTAATGGCAGTTATAACAATTAAGTAAAAACCTGAATTTTTTTGTTAGTTACGCCTTTTTGCATTTATCAAATAAACCCACTTGTAGTTACGTCTTTTTGTTTTTTGTTAATAGAAGCTCCTGTTTTGACCGCAGACGTGTAAAACTTTGTCAACACATGTATTTTATTGACATTCACAATATTCATTCAAAAAGTCAATTTTCAATTTTTTGTTAGTTACGCCTTTTTGCATTTTAGCTGACGATATATATATATATATATATCATTTCAATTTTTGGGGTGAAAGAAACCACCCCTCCCCCTTCAAACCCTCTCATTGTTTACCCTGTGTAACAGCTACACAGTCCCAGCTCCGGGTAAAGTTTTCAATAATTATATCCGGCGTTTCATGACTGTAATATAAACTCTACTAGTAGGCATCTATTATATCAGTGTTAATTTATACCAATTGTTATAAATTGATGAAAATGTATTTGCCACAAAATATATTTGGAATAATTATAGAATGTTAAATACATACAGAGATTTAAATCAAATGTTATAGTGTACTAACTGTTATTTATAATTTCTATTTATTGTAGGAAACCAAGGCAATTTTGGCAACAATCCCGGTGGTTTCAATAACGGTCCCATGGGGGGTGTAGGCGGTGGAAATGTCGGCGGCAATAATAGAAGATATTAAACAAGTAAGTACCTTAACAAAATTATCAAAAAACTAAACTTTTTTTCTTAAAAAAAAAAAAAAAAAAAAAAAAAAAAACAGATTTTAATACAATCTTAGAGAAATCCATACTGTATGTAGCTCTAGGGTGCAAAATATGCTAGCTTTTACATTTTATTATTTTCAAAATCAATTTTTTGTTTGTTTTCTCTAGACATTTCTTCTTTTATTTGGTTTTGAATAGATGATTTCTAACAATATTATAGCTATACTTGAAAACCAAAATCGAATGATCAATGATTAATATTTTTATTCTAACATTATTTTATAGGTGTTTTAAAAATTTCCAGGTCCAATAACAGTGTATAAAAATCCATTCAGAATGCAAAACCAAAACAGTTACAGAGTTTTACGACAGAGAGTTACATAAATACAAAACAGAAAATAGTGTAAGGATCATTCTTAACAATTGTACACGCCCCCTCCTCCTCCTAAAAAACAGCCATCACAATAATATTATATACTTGAACAGAAGAGGAAGAAGAGATGAGTTTTCTAAGCCCATAGAAAAGAGGATGAGAAAGAAAGGTGAAGAAGGAGGAGGGATTATTTGAAAAAAGTAACAGATACAGAGTTGTATAGTGTGTATGTGTGTGGACAAAGCTCAGAAGAAGATGAAGATGATGAATGAGGAGGAGAAGAAGTTAACAGCAGCGCAGAAATCTCAGTAAACACATCCTATCTACTACTAATCAGAGCAGACTGTTATGGAGAACTTGATATTTGTTCTATATATGATGACAGAGAGGAGGAAGGAATCAAAAACCCCTCCTTCCATAAAAGAATTAGCTAATAGTGTGTAGTGTAAGGAAGCAGAACATAAAAAGTTTGTTACCACATAAAAAACTATTTCTTTGAGAACAACCAGAGATACAAATATGCAGATAATATAGTATGTGTAGATCTAATTACTAATTATATCTGTGTATATGTGCAGCAGAGTAGTAGTGTATTTATAAGTCATTCATCATTTTAAACTACTGTATGTGTTGTTGTTTATTTTGTCCTCGCAAGGAACTTTGTCCTCCAGTATATACTACCGAAATTAACACAAAACAATTAAGGATTTTTATTACATTATAAAAAGAAAATAGATAAGATTTCCTACCCCCGCCCTCATTTTTTGAGAAAGTTTGTCAACCAACAACCCCCAGCAAACATTTTTAGAGTATTCGCACGTGTATGTGCTTCATAACAATGTCATAACAAATGAAAAAACAAAAATACAAATTTGGGACAAATTCTATGTGTCCCAGTAGTAGATTTTAAGCTATCTCATAAACAAACAAGTATAGCCCTTAAGTTTTTATTTTTTAGAAAAATACCCATTTTGTGGCAATTCTTAATTTAAATTTATATAATTACGCACTATAGAAATAGAACAATAATAATCTTTTGATGAAGGATGATGAGATAATATCAGAGAAGATAACCAACCAATTTTCCGATACATTCACAATTCTGTGTATTAGTGAAGTTCACTTAGTAGATGATTTATGATTATATATGTGTGTTAGTAATTTGACGAAGAAATTCTAATGTAAACAACAATTAAACATTGTTGTGTCTTTCTTTTTTATTGATTGAAATGCTATACATTTTAATACTATGTGTAAGACTTCTTAATACTACAAGATTGACTTCAGATTCTTTTAGCCACAATTATACTTTTAAAAGAAAAGAAAAAAGAGAACAAATATATGTACATATTTATTTACATTATGAAAAAAATGTAAGAAAACATAATTAGATTATAATGAGTGTTTGATTTTTTTCTTTTTGAAACCTTTGTTGTGTTGAAGAGGAGGATTTATTCTTTTTTTTAGATCAGATGAGAGAGATGTTGAAATCTCCTTTAAAACATTATTTCTTTTCGAAAACAAACAAATTTTAATTTTGCCTTTGCTTATTAATATTATTTTTGTGTTCCAAGAATATGGGATATGGAATTGAAAAAGACATTCCACTTGGTTTGGTGGTGTTGTTATGGTATGCTGTGTGTGTTCTTCTATAGACTACAACGGATGAGGAGAATGCAAAACTCACATCATCATCTCTCTGTCTGGGTAAGTAAATAATTTTTTTTTGTAAATTTTATTCAGGCATATAACCAGAGGAAGAAATGGATGGAATTGAAACAGATGTGTTCGACAAATTTATTTCATTGACAAAATTGGTTTTGTCAACTTTGTGAATGTTTTATTTAATTTAATGAATTTTTTTTTTATTATTTTTCTTATACAATTAAAAAATAACAAATACAATACAATAAAAAATATAAAAATACCGAATTTTTAAATCTTTTCATTTTCGAAATTGAATAGAGGTGTGTGAGTAAGTATGCACGTACAATTTTTAGAGTTTAACAATTGGATTTCAATCTTTAAAAATTTACGAAAAAAAGTAAAAATTCAAGAATAAAAGTATATTGGCTAGAGATGCCATAAATAATAATTGTAAAATTGGGTCCATGGGGTCAGTACCATTACATTGTACGTGACTAAGGATTTTTATCTTAAAAAATGAAATTTAAAAAACTTGTAATACATTAAAAAATAAAGTATATTTATAAAGGGGGCTTAAACTATGGAATAATATTGGTTTTGGCATGAGATGCCATAAAAACTAACTGTAAAATTGGGTCCATGGGGATCGGGACCATTACATTGTAAATGTGGATGAGGATGTTGATCTCAAAAAACGAAAGTTAAATATTACAGTTATCTCAGTTGGAAATTATTTTGGCTAGGGCTTGCAAGATAGAAACATAGTTGGAATGTTATGTCGAAATATGCATTTACGTTGGACGAAAATCGCCGAGATTTTTTTACACGCCAAAGACTCGAAGTTGGAGTCACTTTGTTTGGGAAATGCTCCTTAGGACCATGATAAACTTCGATATGACTATTTTTCGAGGACCTGCTACTAACTGTTTATTAAGGACGATTTTTTTTCGAGGACTAGCTTTAATCGTGTTTTTTCGATGAATAACTACAACCTAGGGGAGTTGCCAATCTCTTACTAGGCGCGTCTTCCCGGGTGGTGGATGGGAAGGGGATTTCTATGGATCCCCCGTGGACCAAACCTGCGTGGATTTATTTTTTAAATTAACTGGATTTTTAATATATTTTTTAAATAAATACACAACCTGTCCTTCAAACTTAGATAAACAAATTTGAGGACCATCAATCCTCAATTTTATAAAGAATGATTTTCTTGAAGGGCCACATGGCCATCAGACGTGAATTTTTTAACGTTATAAGTGATGATAAGCTCCGTGGAAATATTTTTTGATGATGTGCAAGACGTGGCATTTAAGAGAACTACCAACAACACTGTGAGTGGATGCTTATGTTTAAAGAAATGTCCAATCAACTGCTCATTTTAGCTTGAAGTGGTATTTTCGGCTACCAAAAGATGTCGTTGTGTACTTAGTTGAGGCCTTAAACCTGCTTTCCGAAAAGCCCGGCGGTCAAAAGCAATTCCTCCTCTCTCAAAAGTGTGTGCAGCTCTGAGGTCTTTTTCGGAGGGATGTTTTCAAAAGTCCCATGGCAATGACTTCAACCTTGGCATGGCTCTACCCACAATGTCGGTAGTTTTGGCAGAAGTTGTCCGGCTAATAGAGGAAAACCTGTGTAAAATTTGGATTTTGTTCCAAATTAACAGAGGAGAAAAAGGGAACAATATTTTTTTTTTCATTCGAAAGCAATGTTCCCGGGTTTTGTCGGATGTATATATGACACACACGTACATATCATGGGCCCAAAAGAAGATGTTCGCCACTCTCTGCCATTCATTTGGAATGCGTATTGGTGGGCCACAGCAGTTAAGGTCCTCTGAAATGGCCTTCCACACATCATCGATAGTGGCTTTGGTTTGACTAAAAGTTCGCACGCCGCTTGTTCTTTTGTAGTCATTTTAACCATAAAGCCTACAAATTTCAGTTGTTATTGTTAAACACGACTAAACAGCAAGCGGAAAAATTCTGTTTGAAGCAACTGAAGTTGACAACAGTTGCCATCCATAATTCAAATTTGGCAACTGGCAACGCCACTAAATTATGGTTGCCATCCGTAATCGACACATAAATTTTTTTTTCCGAGAACTTACCGATCATTTACAACCTTACCTAAAATTCAACTAGCTCGTTCGACGTTTTTCACCACAAAAGTAGAACACATGTCTTTATATGAATGTTACCGAAATACGTCGAACGTACAAAATTTCAAGTTGAATAATTTCAACTTTGACAGAACGTATTTTTAATTTCTTTCTTTTGTTGAAAACAAAAACAATCTGGAAATTTTAAATTTCGAATGGAAACTAAAAATATATGGATTAATTTAATAAATTTTCAATTTTGTTTTGCGGTTTGTATTATTTGCTTGAAGATATGGATTCGACGTATTTGGGTAATACGGCCGTACACAACATTTTGCCATAGTGGGGAAGTTGAATATTTTTGTACGCCGTCGGATTTTAGGTAACGTTCAAGGTGTATGCATCAGATACAAGAACAAAAATTTTACAAAAACAACATTGTTATAGAAATTAAATTGTCATGCTTACAAATAGGTTCTGACAAAAGTAAATAAAAAACAATTATACATTTCTTCAGGTCGAATAATTTTGAAAAGTGACCCACATGTAAGCCTTGGTTCCTTGGGGATTTTGCTTATATTTTAAATTACAATATAATTTTCGAAGAAGTGGCTTCTTGGTAGAAAAATTGTAGGACATAAATCCCCGGTCAAACACCACAAACCCGTATGCAATCTATATGATTGTCACTTACACCTTATTAAATACACCTTGATAACGTTGTTAGAGAGAATTATTCAAGTCTGTTGAATTTTTAAATATTTTTTGCAGATTTTTTTTTTCGAATAGAGCAACATCGGAAAATGTGTGTATTCCAAGTCAAAATTGTTTTTATTAAAAATTACTCAAAACGGATATAATTTAAAGTTTCTAGCTCCAGAATACCTCCTCGGGGAATATGGCCCATGTTTCGAACCAGTGCTAATGAAAAGATCCCGATTTTTTTATAGTAGTCCCCATTACCCATTGGCTTAAAAAAATAAATAACCAGTGAGGAAGGTTCGAAAGTCGGACGGTGCCTGCTACTTTGGGCACATACAAGATTTGGTAATATGTACAATATTCTATAGATATAACAAACATATCATCTTTAGAGGACCATTGAAATGGAATCGGGCGAACTTAACTGTGTAATCTACATAGATATTTGAACCAATAAAAAACATACACATTCCTTCCTGAGGCATTATTTAAAAACAATTTAGAGAATTTTGTGACCATCGGTCGTGAATTTAGACATTATTTTTTTTAGGTTGTCTTGTGCTCGATATTCGGTCGATACCTTTTCTTTTGATTTGTTATTTATTTTAGACGCAACTAAAGGTTTGTTTTATTTGTGGAAACATCAATTCAATTTTTGTTTTAAATTGATTAGGGGTATAATTATTAACGATGATTTTTAGACGTAATCCCTCCCTCATCAAATTACAGATTAAATATATATTTTAATATTGTTCCATGATATCAAAAAGCTAGGACTCCTTTTGATATTTTAACTGCTTACCACCGCCATCCACATCATAATTGCTTACCAAAATAAAAAGAAACAACAAGACCAATAAATTTGTCTTAAAAATGTTTTTTGTTTATTTTTTAAGATATATTTTTGTATTTTATATATAATTATAAGAGAAATTAAAAAAATGTTTTAATTCATTTTTGTCCAATAAAAATGGGATGTTGACGATCCAATATAGTAGTGTATGATACGAGAATATCCATTAATTTTTTTGTAATATACATTCTTAAATAACACACATTTATATTATGTTTAGAAATTGTGTAGTAGTATAGCTTTGTTCAACACTATAAAGAATAAAGAAATATGTAAATAATAACAAAAATTATTTTGTTAAAATAATGTAGTATGATTGGATATATATATATTTGAACACATTCTGTACAAACATACATAATATTAAGACTTATTTAAACTTTTTTTATTTTGTATCGGCGCAATAGAAAGATGTAATTTTTAAAAATTGCATCCAACAAAGAAACAATCGACGACGACGAAAACACATCATTTTTTTTTTTCGTCATAAGACTGTATTTATTTTTGCTAGATGTTTTTTCGCTCGTATTTTTTATAAAGAATTGTTATAGTTAAATAACCAGGTGAGGTAGATAGTTTAAACGTGCCTTAGGATATATATGTAAGAAACAAAAATGTAATTCAAAATAAGTTAACAACAGTTCTGTGAAATGTCCTATAGTTATTTGGCATTACAATTAATAATATATTAATGTGCAATGCCTATTTGGAGGGAGGTGTTCTTTTTTTTAGTTAAAAAACCAAATATCATACAGATGACAAATTCTAATTTCAAAGTTAGGTATGTATGTAGTAATAAATACGCAGAAGAATCACTTGTTACACTTTTAAGGGAAAGGTACGTACAATAACTTCAATAAAACCAAGAACGACGACGTCGCTGAACCGAATGGCATAAACATGTTCTACTTCGTATAAGGTGTGCATACAGCAGCGCAGCATCTGTTGTATATTTATTTGCATTTTGTTGTTGTTTTTGAATAATGATTCAATGTTAGTTTGCGCCCACACTTTGTAAATAAAATATATTTGCCATTCGTTCAGTATGTCTTTATTTTTCTATGACGGTATTATTGAAAGTATAAATCATTTAAATATATTCTTTCGTAGAGCGTAGATAATACAAAATCGACGATATTAATTTTATTCTAATTTGGCCGTAGATTTTTTAGGTATTGTAATATGTAAAAAAATAAATTGTAGTTAAAAGAAATGTAATTGAAAACACAATATATATTTGAAATGTAGTACTTCTTTTAATAAATATCACTTTAGCAGCCCATAGGGCTTAAAAACATTTTTTCTCATTTGTAATATAGGTATGTAGTAAGAGTAGTAGTCGTATATATTTATAAAATATATTATTAAAATTGCCAATAATGTACTGTACTGTAGTATAAAAATTTGAAACATAAATTATGTAGTAGAAAAAAACGATTTTATATAAACTTTAGTAGTATCACCCATATTTTAATGATATTTACACAAACACACCCACCCCTACACTACAAAACACACAGAAACTCTGTCGATATTTTTATAGGCGTTTCTCATTTCATGTCATAAACAAAATAATTCAATAATACATACCACTTAAACATTATAGGGATTCCTCCGATTATTTTGCAAATTATAACCCTTTTGGGGTCCACCACCATGTGAATTGTGGTAGCTACCGAATTGTCCTTCAGCTGGGGCACCATTCCAACCGGGCTGTTGTTGTTCTTCGTAGGCCAAACCGTATGCTGGTACTGCGGCAGCATAACCACCTTCATTTACTGCTTGTGGCTGTTGTTGCTGATAGTGGGCAACATGTGGTGCTCCACCCCAACCATTGTTATACGATTGTGCTGGTGCATAATTATTATATGATTTATTTTGATTATAGGATCCATAAGATCCATTTTGTTGTTGATATGAACCTCTGTTTGATTGTTCTGGTCTATAGTTTGATTTTTTTACTTCAACATTAACATTATCAATAACATGATTTTTATGAACTAAAAAAAGTATAGGCGGAGAGAAAATAATAATAATAATTATATGTAAATACGATATTGTTAGAGGCTAAAAAGTCAACAATCTTTAATCACTCGTGTAAGTGTTGTCCCACTATATGTATCCTCCATGTGTTTGTTTTTGTGAAATTTCATTCGGTTGCGTTGGAAGGCTATTTAAGGTGTTCTCTGCAGATGTTGTGTTTTTTTTTAATTATTATTCAAGATATTTTAATTATAGAAACAAATTTTTAACTTTAGAGGAAAATTTAAACACGTCCCCGAAACGATGAATCAGTTAATCTAGGGTTTCAAAGATCAAATACATTTTCATGTTCTGTTTTTTCTTTCCTTGGGATTTGAATCATCAAGTTTTTGTTGAGATAGCTACTTTCTTTAAAAAAATATTTGAAGAAGCTATGATTGTATTTTATGATGACATTAATACATGAAATTTTAAATAAATTCTTAATCATATGTTGCAATATCGTAGTTATTACCCTCCTTATTTTGAAGTAGTTTTCTGAAAACGTATCATCTGGTAGTTTTTCAAACTAGGCATATTATTTTCATATGTTTGAACGTTGTATATTCACTTGATATTTTTGTTGCGATTTTTTTTTCTCTTCCAAAACGAATGCTCTCTCGTAACGATTTACTACCATACCCACTCTGTCTCCTATTCTTTTAGACTTTCAGTGTTTACTGATTATTACCACCAAGTTAGCAATATTAAAAGGACTTTGCTGCTGGATAATACCACAAGCCAGTCCCTCTCTCTATTACTTACGAGTAGTAGAAAAATGCAATGGAATTCTTGCTCTATCAACGGTCGAAGAAATTTGCAACTGTTAGATGGCCAATAGAAAAAAACTTGCAGAATGATTTAAAGAATGCCAGCACTTTGGCAAATAATTAGCAAATTATCATTTTACAAAATACTTACAGACGGCATTGTCGGCAGCTTCGTTGCTATCGAATTCTACAAAACCGAAACCACGTTTGCGGCCAGTAGTTCTGTCCAAAAGAATTTTAACACTTTGTACAGTGCCAAATTGTTGGAAGTATTCCTGGAGATTTTGTTCATCATGATTGTCACGGAGACCACCAACGAAAATTTTTCTTACAGCACTGCCACCACCGGAATAACCACCACCATTGCCGCCATTATTATTTCTGTTTGTTTCGGAACGTGGCAGGGCAGGTTTTGAGTCAACAGTTCTGTGTTTATGGGGGGAAATAGAATAAAAAAGAAAAATATATGTTTTGTAAACTGTAAAGGGTTAAAGAGGAGGGGTTTCTTAATATTTACTTACCTTCCATCAATCATATGGGGTTTTACACTTTGAGCTCTTTCAATGCTAGCCGAATCCTTGTATGTGACAAAACCGAATCCCTTGGAACGTTGGGTTTGAGGATCACGCTTTACCACAACATTTGTTACTTCACCATATTGGGCATAGAAGTTAGTTAAACTTTCTTCTGTGGTGTTGGGAGATAGACCGCCCAAAAATAATTTGCAGGCGTAATTATCATTTTCGAACTGGAACAGAGAAATAAACGAATTTTTAAGTGATTTAAAATTAGAAAACCAAAACAATATAATAATGTTATATTTATACTTGTTTATATACCGTTTATCTAAGATATATAAAGAAAATCGTCCGATTTTTGTAATCAGACCTCCTATCTCATTTTTCTGGGAAATTTTGATAGAGGCAATATCATGTGCATGACTCATGGCTCCAAACAAGTTTATAGGTATATATACAGACAATGGAAGATCTTTATTCGAATTTGTATATTTTAAAAACTAAAAATTTTTGCGGATCCTGCCGAAATCTTTCGACTTTTATTATGTGGTCTTAATGAAAATTGTTAGTCAGTGAATAAGGAGGTTAAAGACTTGAGATAGCCTACAAATATAGCAGCATAGTATTGGTAACCACTACATTTAACTGAAGTAGATACCATCGAATATATTTGTGTTTGGAATTTTAAAAAACAAAAAATGCCAGTGTGATGAAAGCATTTTAACCAAACAATAAACAGCGCTATACATGCGGTATTAGCTATAAAGTATGGTTTTACAATGGAGAACTGTACTAATGTTACGTAAAATGCGCTTTTTTATGGTGTGGCCTGGTTATACTTCGGCAGTTAATTTACAGTTGTAAGTTAGAGTTATAATTAATAATTTGTGTATGATGCTAAACAAAAATTGTGGTCCCACCATAATTATGGGTCATATACCATGTGGACAGTTCAAAATTCGACTCATTGAATTCCTACTAGGGTACTTATGTTTCCTCTTTAACTTAAAAAAGAGACATTCCGTACTTTAGAAAGTGTTATATATACCATGATATATATACATAGTATGTATATACCTATATATACATACAAAGAAATATATGGCGGAAACTTGTGTATGTATGTGTTGATATACATCATTCCAATTTAAAATAAAATCCTAAATTTATATTTTCTATATACCCAAAAAAATCATTTAAATATTGAATGAAAAACTAATTATGAACAATAACCTAAAAACTGTTTTGTGCCATGACTTAATAAAAAACAAGTATTTCTTGGACGATGAACAATAAAAAAAAAATGATGACACGATTACCCCTGTCCAATTTTGGTATACACATTTATTCATCATATAAAGATAATATTGCTAACTAATATACATATTGAAATACATACCTGGTTAATATCAGTATAAGGTCTTGCAACTGCTACGTCAGCCATTGTGTTTTTTAATAAATTTATTTATTACTTGTTTTTTTTATAAGAAAATAGTTATTTCTTTTTTTGAAAATTTTCCGTTCACAGACTACAATTTGTGAGAAATATGTGTAGCAGAATAAAACGACAACGACTTTAACACGTTTCACTAGTGTATGATGCTAATCACCTCCCTTTTGGATAATGTGAAAATAAAATGGCTTCGTTTCTGTTGTGAGTAATGTGAGCAGACATTAAAGTCGTTGGAAATTTATCCACTGTGCCGGCGTTAAAAAAGGCGGCTATAACAATGGCGATAGAGTTACCATATGTCTGAATTAAACGACATTTTCATAGTTTTCAGCTTTATGATATATTTGCCCCGGCATGCATGTGCTTTGTTTACGCACATATTGTACTTTTAATAGAGTAAAAATCATATTTCACCGAACTATTTTATTATAAACAGTTATTTATGTTAACATTCCCTTTATATATCTGTCAAATCAATGGGAATTTCGCACTTTATATGATGTACTTTAACGAAATCCTGAAAAAATAATTGACCGCATTTACAGTAGAACTTTTTACTGGGTTAACCAATGGTACAAAGATCAAAGTAGACCATTGTTGCTTTTTTTATTCTAGTCCCTTGTATAATTGTGTCCCTTGTATAATTGTGTGTGTTATTTTTACATATATACAAAGGGATTGATTATTTACGTACTATTACACCGACATTGAGATTATTCCAAATGTCTGTCAGCTGGTATTTGTTTACATATACACATTTACCACGAAGCTAAAATAAAAAATAAGATTTTTACTAAAATTTTTATTGGATATATATATATATATATATATAACTAAATACTATTCATTAATGGGAAAACATGTTTGTCATGTGGTCACATTTGGACATATATTTGTACCTAAAAAAGTTTGATCAAACTGTCAGAAAACCTAAATTTATTTGCACGAGATTATTGGAAGAAGATTTGGCCATCTTCCATTATTTTCCTATTCCTGTTGTTTATTTTATGAATTATTTTCAGGACATTGTTGTTTTTTCTGTTTGAAAACAAATGTTTATGTTCGATCAATCAATAACCCAAAATTGTAGAACTCTATAAATAACGCTCTTGGAAACGTCCATAGAAACTCCATAATCAGAATCATGGCACAATAAATAGGTAGTCCATTTAGCGCAGCTGATGTCTCGATTAACTGCCATGCCAACCAAGACAACAACATCCCCTTATTATTGCATCATGATTAGACTAAACAAGTGGCAAGAAAAAAATCATTATGTTCGGTCGGGTTAGCTACAACATTTTTCACGAAACTACAGGGTGACATAGAACTACCAAATTTTACATTTAGTACTTTTTTTCAACTGTGATACCATATAAAGTCAGCAAAGAAGTAAAAAATAAATTTAATAATAAAATTATGAATGAATATAACATGGTATAATAATAGAAGGTAAAAGCAAGTGTTGTTGTACAACAAACGATACAACAACCACATGGAAATTTGTTGTTGAAAGTTTTACTAGTGTCAACGTCATTTGACAGAAAAATGTAAAGAAACAAACAAACAAATTATAAACAAATTATATATTTTGAAAATGAAATATTTTTAAATCCCCAAAAACTCGATGTCGTATTTAAGAGTAGATCCTCAAGAACATATTGGTGTATTGCATGTGCTCCTAGTCAGTTTTTCGTTGAACAAACTTTCCAATTGTCTGGTTTCCAACTGGTGGTCAGGACAGCTTCAATGTAAAAACGTGAGGATCTCCTCTTTCATTCGAGTTTATGGTGTACGTTTGTATAGTGAAGCCTCCAGATCCAGTTTTCTGACCTTAGGAATAGTAACTAAAACTCCTTGTACATTAGAACTTTTTATCGGGTTAACCTACTTTATGAGGATTTATTTGACGTTTATGCAAAGGAATTGACAATTGAAACCCACTGGGTTAACGAAATCCGGTTAAATGTAAACGTACTACTACAAATTTAAAATTTGTCATATATATAACTGTTGTTACTGGAATATTACAGATTAATTTGTAAATGGAGACCATAAAATTAATTGAACAACAATATTTTTAATTTTTTTCGTTATGTTCATTCATAATTTTTTTATTAAAATTATTTTTTATTTCGTTGCTGACACAGTTGCAAAAGAGGTACTAAATGTAAAATTTGGTCGTTCTGTGTCAAAAATCGATTTACTTATCCTTAGTTTGCTCTAGAGTTGGGCAATCTAGTTCACGTAGCGAATCGATCATTCTCGTTTCTTTTTTAAAAAGGAACTAGTTCCTTAATGTAGTTCCTTTGAACTATGTAATTACTTCATAATTAAGAGTCGAACCACGAATGAGAGAGGGAACAACGCTCGTCTGTACATGGCATTAGACTTTTCAATACAAAAAGTCGATTAATCGAAAGTCGATTTACTTATCCCTAATCATAATTTGCCTAAACCTCATTCGTAAACAACACGGTTTCCATTTAGTCTCTATCCCACCTCATTCGTAAAATTTCGGTTATACCATTTTGAGTTCATCTTTATCGGTCATTTTGTCTTCTCCTCCCATTCGTTAGCAGGTGGAACGTTTTTCAATTTTTTTCAGTCGTATACTCGTATACATACACATTTCACACATTTTTCACATTTCAATTTTTGTGAATTTAATAAGATTTTTTTAATTGCTATACGATTTTAAAAGAATATCTAATATGGTAAGGAATAAAAATACTTTCCACGAAATTGTATGGGAAATAATTGATCCATTTATTTCAGTACAATTCAGAAAGTGATCATCTGCGTAAATTATTTTTGGGAGGTTTATCCCAAAATTCCACAGAAGATTCTTTGCGGGCCTTCTATCAACAATTTGGTGAAATTCTTGATGTAACCATAAGGCGGGATGCCACTGGACGTTCAAGGGGATTTGGTTTTATAACATTTTTTGACGAATCATGTGTTGATAAGGCACAGGCGGCTAGACCACATGTGGTCGATGGCAAGTAAGTGGAGTTTTTGTTTTCCGTTCCGTAAGCCATATGTTTGGCTGCTTTCATGTAGTGATTGTCACAGCACAGCTTCAGCTTATAGGAATACGACTTGGATGGTACTATACACCAGAAATTAACACCACTGTTTCTTTTTATTTCAATAGAACCATTGATTCGAAGCGAGTCATAGCAAAGCCTGAACCCAAGCTCAGAGGATCTGGTAGAAAAGTCTTTGTTGGTGGCTTGAAAGATGTACATACTGAACAGGCGCTCAGAGAGCATTTCCAACAATTTGGCAAGATATTAGGTATTAAGATTTTAGTTGACAAAAACACTGGTCGTAACCGAGGATTTGGTTATATTGAATTTGAGGATTATGATTCGGCAGATAAGGCTGTATGTAAGTATTTAATGATGAATGCGTCCATGAAGTATGACAGAATTTTATTAACATATAATTAATTTGTAGTGCACAAAAACCATACGATTAAATATTTGACTGTAGATGTGAAAAAATCCAACTACAAACCTGATCAATCAAGAAATCAACAACAAAATGGAATGCAACAAGTAGGTGGCGCACCACCGGCATCGGCTTACCCACAGCCTGCTTATCCAACTCCGTATGGTTATCCGCCAGCACCACCTGCATATGGTGCACCACCAGCATGGGGTGCACCTCCACCACAAACTGCAGCACCAGCTGGATATCCTCCACAACCAGCACCCGGTGGTTATCCACAGCAACCACCACCAGCGTATGGTGCCCCACCAGCATGGAATGGTTGGGGTTATGGTGCACCACCTGCTCCTGCACCAGCAGGTGTTGCTCCCCCACCTGCAAATGGTTGGAGTAATCCTGCCCCTCCACCAGCTAATCAAATTTTCGGAAACTATCAACAATCGTATAATGGTGGCCCTGAAAAAGGTGGTAAATTGCAATCGAATCGTAAAGCACCATATCGGTCATAAACAGAAGGGGTAAGTAATTTTATTAGGTTACAACTATTTGTCAATTATAAATGAATATACTTACAAGTAGGAATAACAAAAACACAATTTTTGGTTATATAATGGACTACGTTTCCGACGGGTTTAAAAAGCAGTATTATTCTATTCGCTCACACCATTCCACACGAATAAACAATCCTTATATTAAGCTCTAGGGTTGGTGGACTAACTGTCGGGAAATTGTACTACTTGTAATCATTTTGAATGATAGACTTTTTTGGTGCAACTCTCCGAGATTTTTTTGGAACACAAATTAATATTTATTGTTCCAATAGTTTTGAAACAGAAGCTTAAATCATATATAGTCTGTAATTAAAATAATTCAGTGAACTCAAACTGCGGTTCAAATTTAATAAATTACATAGTTTCCCATATTTTTTGTTTCTTGTATTAATTTCCGACTATTTTTGGAATATAATACTGCCACAAACATATTGGTATTCCTCTATCACTTTAAAAATATATAAAATCTATTACTTTTAATATCTATTATTCACAATTTTCAATATATTAATATTTTATATTAATATTCTTTAAGTATTTCTTCTGAACATTTCGTATATATATTTCTTTATTTTTGTTTCTATTCAGGTATATTTATATATATTATATAAACACGTATAAATCAAAATACATATTATTGTATGGCGTATGGAAGATGACAATTTCTGGAGTATTATGGTCGCCTGAATGTTGAGCATTTCCAAAAAAAAAAAAAAAAGGAAAAACTAGACACATGTATTATTTGTAATATTTGAACTAGATAAAATAAAAAAAAACTTTAATAAAAAATGTATAATGAAAACTATTTAGAGAGCACAGTTTAAATGTGCTCTCTCCTATCAATAATTATATTATTTTTATCTTTTTCTTTTAATAACAAAATATAAATATAATATTCGATATGTTTATATTAAACAACTTATATATGTTATTTCTTTATTTCGCTATATAAAATGTACTCTACTATCTGATAAAAACAAAGGAAAATAAATTGAAAATGACATAGTAAACACTATGTCCTTTTGTGCAATCTTAAAGTGAATGAATTTATTTTATTTGATCTGTATAAAATATGATTTATAATATATAATTCAATATATTATTTGAGAAACAAATGCTATTGTATATTTTATTTTGTCATGTATTTTTATATATCATAATATGGTTGGTTGTAGCAACATAAAGTTGTCCTACTATAGTCTAGTGGGATACTTTGATATAGGTGAATATGCCAATCTTACTGACATCCGGAGTTGTAAAGATTAGCTCATTGAAAGAAAAAGGAGATACCTCTTTTTAAATCATCTGAAGTTTTGTTTTTCGACTGAGGATTCATCAGCAGATTGTAGCATTTTCATCTTAAATTTTTAAAATTAAACTGCCTGTCTTTCCAACTTTGGGCAGTGTTTAGTCGTGTAAACGCAAATAAAACACAAAGAAAATATTTTTCCCGTCATATATCTTTCATACCCTTCACTAAACTGTTGTACAGGGCATTATGGCTTTGTGTATATGTTTGTAACAGGCAAAAGAAAATGAGATAGACACATGGTTCATTTTGGGAATATGCATAGAATCACTTTTTGAGTCGATTTATGCAAGTCCGTTTGTGTATTTTATATTGTACAGGTCGCATTTATGATCTGAATGAGATGAAATTTGGCATAGGTCACTTATTTGGCCAAGGACGAACCCTATTGAAATTGGGGAAAAAATTTTATTGAAAATCCTGAAAATCGGTTCAGATTTTGATATAGCTCTCATATATATTTTCGTCCGATTTAATTTAAATGGTGTATCAAATATATATATCTTTCGATTTGCATGAAATTTAGCATAGCTTACTGAATTAAGTCTGGAATGATGCGTGTTAATATTCGTGAAAATCGGTCCAGATTTAGATATAGATTCCATATATACTTTCGTCCATGTAAATGGTGTACCAAAGTTAATATATATCTTTCGATTTGCACGAAAGTTGGCATAGTGTACTGAATTAGGTCTAGGATGATGTGTGTTAATTTTCCTGAAAATCAGTTCAGATTTAGATATAGCTCCTATATATATATTGGTCGGATTTTATGTAAATGGTGTAATATATCTTTCAATTTGCACAAATTTTGGTACAGCATACTGAGAAAAGTCTAGAATGACGTGTGTTAAGTTTTGTTAATTTCGGTTCAGATATAGATATAGCTCCCATATATATTTTCGTCCGATGTAATGCAAATTGTGCACTAAAGACTCAAAGTTTGTCCGATTGCCACACAATTTTACACAATGAACTATAGTTAATATCAATTAATCTCTGGCAAGTCCCGTTGAAATCGGTTCAGATTTAGATATAGCTTCTACATATATATTTTCGTCCGATTTTACACAAAATTGACACAAAATTTTGCACAGCGTACTGACGTTAGTATAACCTAGAAGATTGTCACAAAATTACCATAATAGGGGGAATCTTCTGTACTCGAAAGTATGGAATTCTAAGACGGCTTAGACGGAGGATAGGCCTAGGCCCATATAATGATACCTACCGATTTTCGGTATTTTGAATATGTAGCGTGAAGGAAGGTCTTGCGATGCAAAGTTTTCGAAATTGAGCTATATCCACCCTCAAGTATACATAGTTCATCATATATTGATAACTCTAAGAGTTCGGTAATTTCTACTCGATGTAATCAATATTGGTCTCGCTTTAGGAACATCCTCCAAGGACGAACGCATACATTTTTTTGCAATGAAAATTATCATATTCATATTTGCCAGTTTATTTTTGCAGCTCCTTAAATTGTTTGCGTCCGGGAATGTGTTAAATGTTTGGTCTGTTCCCGTACTGCAAGAATGTACAAATTTTTACTACGATAACGAATTATCCTTAATAATATCGAAGCAAATAGTAAAATATAGTAGATTCTCGCAGTACGGGAACATACCATTTATTTATATACTTCAAAAAAATAGTGTTTCTCGAGACTTATTAATATGCTCTTTGGCAAACAGCGGTAAAAAATATCAAAACCAGCCTCAGATTCATGACGCCTTATAACTGATATGCAATAATATTTTTAACTTCTCTCTGTGCTATTTGAGATGATTTTTAACTCTCTTACTATTTAATATTCCTCCGCTCTCTCTATCTCATTTAACGTGGTCTTATAAATGTAATAATTTTTATGTTTGCATTGTATTGTGTACTGTCTTTTCTACAACGAACTATTTCAGCTACCTTCTTAAATTTACAGTGTACTGTGTAGTAAAAAAGCCGCCCGCATACATTTTGGCGCCGTCATAACCACACCAATCAGGCTTTATTTTCTGATTGCTTCTTGTGTATACACACCACAAGTGAGCATAGATAGACAAGACAAGCGACGATTTTTAATTAACTTCTCACAATCATTTAATTAATTTCGTTTTGGTGATTTGATTATTAAAATAATTAAGTGAAAATGGTAGTTAATAAATCAGTACAGGTTAATATCTTAACTGTGCTTTTATTCCGACAAAAATGTATATAAACAATCAAATTGTCAAAATTTCCTTTTGTTCATTTACAGTCAAATGCCGAAGGCGATAATCTACGTAAATTATTTTTGGGTGGCTTATCACCAAATTCTACGGAAGATACTTTACGAATGTTCTATCAACAATTTGGTGAAGTAATTGATGTTACAGTAAGACGTGATCCAACTACCGGACGTTCCCGGGGTTTTGGTTTTGTTACGTTTGTTGATGCCACCTGCGTTGACAAGGCACAGGCAGCCAGGCCACATGTAGTTGATGGAAAGTAAGTACATAGTAGTAGTATACAGAATTCTATATATGTATGTATGTTAGCTTCAATGCAAAATTGACTACACTGGGGGATCATTTTCATCATCGGTAGGCTCTTGAGACCCGGAGACATGAAAAAAGGACCTGATATTTTTGTGAACTACATAAAGTAGTGGCAATTTTAAGCTTATTTAAATCGAGTTACAACAGTACAGTAAATTTAAGAAATTTTGAATATATAATTTCAATCGAAACTCTTAGATTTCACAAGTTATTAAACTAGACTCGGAAAAGGCTTTTAAACAAGATTGTTGGTACTATTGTAACCCGCCCATTTCATATTTTGTATTTTAAATAGTGTCTAATTCCATTCTATTCTAGGACGGTGGATTCCAAACGTGTTATTATTGAAACTGATCAAAAAACAAAAGGGACGGGACGGAAAATCTTCGTAGGCGGCCTTAAAGCAATACATGATGAAGATTCTCTTAGACAACATTTTCAGCAATTTGGAAAGATTTTGGGCGTTAAAGTGCTCATTGACCGCAACACCGGTCGAAATCGTGGATTTGCCTATGTGGAATTTGAAGATTATGATTCGGCAGATAAGGCCGTAGGTAAGTAAATATTTTCTTGTAAATATTTATAATAAAAACCCACATTTAATTAAATATCTCAAATATTCCTTATAGCACATCAAAATCACGTTATTAAATATCTAAAGGTAGATGTCAAGAAATCCAATTACAAACCGGATCCATCAAAATATCAGAATCCAAATGGTTACGGTGGATATGCGGGTGCCCAGCCCGCCGCCTATCCTCCACCTGCCTATGCTGCACCATATGGCTATCCACCGCCAGCATATGGTGCCCCAGCATGGGGTGCACCACCGCCACCTGGAGCTCCGGGTGCATATCCGCCACCACAACCAGCAGCCGGTGCTCCAGCTGGATATCCCCAGCAACCACCACCGGCGTATGGTGCTCCTCCAGCCTGGAACGGTTGGGGTTATGGAGCACCACCAGCCGCAGCAGCACCTCCTCAACCAGCACAACCACCCGTCAATGGATGGAATAATGCTGCTGCTGCTCCTCCGCCAGCAAATCAACCATTTGGAAACTATCAACAATCATATAATGGTGGCCCCGAAAAAGGTGGTCGATTACAGAACAATCGTATGGCACCGTATAAATCTTAAATTGTAACAAAAAATGTGGTAAGTATACAAGATGTATATAATTTTTATAAAATGACCTACTGCAAACTTCTTGTTTGTTACTGAAATATCCTGTCTGTCCGTTTATGTAAATGTAAGCCCTCCCCATGAATTTGGATTTAAGACCTATAAGGTATTTTTCCCCCCATTTGTACTTTAAGCGAACCTAGTCACTATTTATTTTCTAGGTGAACATATACACTGCAATATTATTTTCAGTTATAATGACTCTATATAAACCTTATTATTTTCATTTCGTTTATTTCTTTTATAACAATTAATATTTTAAAAGTATTTGCAATATGTTCTATATTATTATCATCATCTATGTATTTATTTATCTTTCTATTTAGGCACAAACACATTTTATATCGATTCAAAAATATACAAAAGCCGTATAAAAAAGTATAATATATTAATTATACAAAATATATTTTATAAAACCGTGGAATATGGGAAGCAGAGCTCTGAACAACATTATGAACAGTATGAAGTAAATAACTTTATCAGCAGATTTTATATAATTTTAAACATTCTATGCTATAAGTATATATATTAATAAAGACAAATATATTACATATATAAATATATTTATAAGATTGTTTTTATTCTATATATTATTTTTTATTATTGGTATAAATTTCATTTTAATTTTAAAACTTCAAATATCAAAATGATTATCGTGAATTCAGTTGGGTTTTTCTCATGATGATCAGGAGCGGGGATATTCGGGTTGTGCTTTTAATAAAGTAACATTTTAATTTCTATACACCACATTTTATATGCATATATAATCCTAATTAATTTTACAATATTTTTTATTTTAATATAATGATTACTCCCCGATTATTTAGTTTTCGAATAAATTTTTTTATGTCATAAGAGAGGTACAAATTTAAAACTCACTAAATTGTTGTTTATATGGAAATTAAGACATATGTATTTTGTAGGAAAGTCATCTCCAAAAGGGTATATTAGAAGGGATATTTTATATAAAACTTGCCGACCAAATTTAGGTATTTCCAATAGTTCTTTTCTATGGAAATGTATGAATATGTTTTAGGAACACCGAACGTCACGAAGTGATAAATTAAAATGGAGTATTTTTATAAAAGAATCAAATTTCAAATTCCAAGAATACTCTTCGAAATGCTATATAAAATTAAAATACAGTTATAAGAATATATATTACGTATGATCAATATATTTAATACTGATAGTATCTTACTCCTTAATACATTTCCAAATAATGAACATTTTGATTTCGTCCAGAGAAACCTCAAATGGCAAAACAAATGTGTAAGTATTCGTGCAATAAAATGAGATCGTATTTTAAGATTTTATTAATTAAATTTATATTGAAAAAAAGAAACAAAAAATAAAGAAATTCCAAAATAAAAACTACTTTGTTTTAATAAAATAATTGGTAATAAATTTTATAATTGCTAATAACTGGCCGACGTCGGGGATATTTTTCATGTATAAAAAATGACAAAAAAAACCTAACCTAATATCTGATACTTTTTCAACCATGCAAAAACCCATTGACTAGGATACAGTGGTATTTATGATATCGATCTCTCTAATTGTTTTTGGGATAATCAGAATCGCTCCTCAGGAGTGATTTTAATTTTTCAGTTTCCGACAATTAGAAGCCATATGTGGCCCAGAAATGCAGGGATACGCATTAAAGTTCCACATGTGGCGTGCATAAATATTAGACTGAAAGCCGGTAGTTCATGACTACATGTCCTCTCAACTCAGATATAAATGAATGCCCTTTATTTTTTTTTTAAAGATACAAATACAAATTTAGGTCCTAATTCTTCGTGAAATTTTTTTGTTTGTTAAGCGAAGACTTAATCCAAAATTGTCGTTTGGCAACGCGTTAATAATTGTGAAAATATTTCAATAGATGGCGCCTTAATATGAGTTTATCTAAAAGTATCTGAGTATTCCATGACTAGATATTTCATGTCTTTAACAATCGTTTAGTTTTATAGCAAACTCCAAAAAACAAAATTTATACCGCGGGCATCGAAACTCCTATTTGGGACTATTTTTAGCCAATACCGTGTGAATAGGGAACAGAGGGCCTGGAAATAAACGATGAGGCCATTTAATTTATCAACGAGTAATTCGGGTAAACTTACTTATGACGGAACGGTTATTCCATAAGCCGAGCTTGACTATTGGCTTCAGTCGTTCACACAGCACGCTGGATAGCATTTTATCTGCGATGGGAAGGAGACTTATTCCTCTATAGTTGGCACATATCGTCTTGTCTCCTTTTTTGTGCATGGGACACAAGACGCTGAGGTTCCAATTATTGGACATGCATTTCTCTAACCAAATTATACAAATGAGCTGGTGCATGTTCCTGACCAGCATCTGACCACCGGTCTTGAATAGTTCGGCTGAGAATCCATCTGCTGCTTTATTGTTCTTCAGCCGATTCATTGCTACTCTGACCTCATCTTGTCTAGGTAATATACACTATACCGTCATCCGAGTAAACACAGAACCTAAAAAGTTTCTATACTTTGAATTATTTTATCGTCAAAACTATGCATTCCAATTAAATGGATATTTAAATCGTAGCCGTCTGTGTGACGAAGGACGTTACCTTGTAACTCTTTCTCCAGGACTAGGAAAACCATCCACCACACCTTGGAAGATGTTGTATGTGCCATTTAAATTTCAAAACTCTTGATCCTGAATGGAATACCTACGGTGATATTTAAGCAAATGAATGAACCAAAAATACATGGCGAAGGTTCTCAACTTGTCTTTAATATAAACAGATCGACCCGCTAAAACTTTGGAGAAATATTTTACAATTTTATTATTGGAATACAAAACGTAATTAAAAAAATATTCTCAGAATGGTACCAAAACGGAAAATGAAATTGTTGTCAATAATTTCTCTTAACTTGACAAGTTTCATGTAAAATTTTCAAAATATTTAAAAATTCACGATAATTAAATTCCAAATGGATACCCCGCTGTACACCGAAACATTTAAATACGGTATCCAATTCGCGGCTACTCAACATATGATGCATTTCACGGACGGTTAGGGCTCGTATCAATTGATTTTTAGCTATTGAACCACAATTTTCATGATCAAAATCTTTAAATACTGAACTAAGATTGGAAATTTCATCTGGTTGTCGGGCCAATTTCATTAAAGCTTGCGAACATATGGTACGTTCTTCGAAATTCAAAAAACACTCGGTACAATCTAAATTCGCCAAATGGATGAGAGGAATTGCTGTGATCTCATTATCACCCGATGATATTTCCAGTTTGATAAATATTTCATCGAGAGCTCGACAAAAATCACGGTAGAGTATACAGCAGCCGCGTTTCGGGGAACGAAAGCTAATGAAGAAAAAAATCTAAATTATTGATTTGCTCATAAAATATATTATAGCAAACTCACATCTTACACAAATTATTAACTTCATCGGGAGACATTTTAATATTGGCATTATCCAGAGCTCGACGAAAATCTATTTCTAAAATTTCACCTTCACGATGCCGATCATAGTCCTGTAGGAAATCAATAACCGGTATACTTTTTGTAACCGCTTGCCTTTTTGCTTTTGTTAATAATTTTATAATATATTCTTCGTCGAGTTGTTTTTCAACTTCGGGAGTTTCATTTGTTTGTGGGCATTCAGTATGTAGAGTTGATGTGGCTTTTAATTTTGGTATAGCATATTCTGCCGGATCAGCATCCTCCAGAAAATGTTTATAATTAAATCCCAATTCATTGCCATAACGATCGGTAAGGCTATTCAATTCATCGTTCGATAGCAGAATACCATTGCTGACAAATATTTGATTGGTGATTTTACAAGGTACATGGCCGCTATTGAGTCTAGAGAGGGGGAGAAGAGGTGAGATATTTTTTTTATTATTGCAAAGCCCTTTAAAAGTTTCATATCTGGCTACTAAAGGTAATATTTAATAATAATATTTTTCGGAAGTCAAACCAGGCGTGAATTTTTTAAAGTATATTTTTTTCAAAAGCCAAAAAGAGAAGAATATTTTTTGAAGTCCACAAAAACAGGCGTGGATTTATAAAGAATATTTTTTCGAAGCCCAATAGAGGCGTGGGGTGGCATAGGGAATGATAGATAGATAGAAGCAACGGCTCTCATTGGCATTAACATGGCGAAGTCCAGGCTTATCTTGGTCCCTCTTTCATTTCAATTGTGGACACTGACCTCCCCGTGGTGCCAAATGGGGTAGCTATTTTCATCACCCGATGAAGTGTTCGATTTGGCGGATCTACTCAAGAAGTACAAAGCCGATATTATTGCCATACAGGAAATGCGATGGAAAGAGACTGGCGTAAGTAAATCAGATGATTACACCCTTTATTATAGCTGCCATGAAACGAGACGTGAATTTGGCTGCGGATTTATGGTTAACAGGAGAATAAAAGACCTCGTCTCCATCCGTATAAAAGCGAAGTTCTTCTACATCAGTCTCATTTGCGGCCATGTTCCGACCGAAGATAAAGATGAACAGAACAAAGACATATTTTACGAGCGCCTAGAAACAGCATATGACCGTTGCCCTGGCCAGACATTAAAATTCTGCTAGGAGATTTTAATGCAAAAAATCGGAAGGGAAAATATTTTTGGCCCCACCATCGGAAAATTCAGACTCCATGAGGAAACATCGGACAATGGCATGAGGTTGAATGACTTCGCGGCAGCAAAAAACATGGTAATTAGCAGCACCAGATTCATCTCGATATACACAAGGCCACTTGGATTTCTCCCGATCGAACAACGAGAAATCAAATCGATCATGTTGTGATAGACGGAGGGCATTCATCCAGTGTTTTAGACGTCCGATCGATCCGAAGAGCGAAGATCGATTCGGACCATTACCTTGTGGCAGCCAAGGTACGTACCCGTTTTAATATAGCAGCAAAGGTGCGATCTAATGTAACACGGAAATTTGACGTCGAAAAGCTGCAAACACAACAGATAGCATAAGCCTACAGGAGTACAGGAGTCAAAATAATGTCCGAAAATTCTACCAACGGGTAAAACACCAAACCACCAGACACATCCTCCTGTAGAGATGAAGAAGGAAACCTGGTGACAGATACAGACAGCGTGCTGAGGTTCTGGAAGGAGCATTTTGAAAAACTTCTGGTATCAAATAGTAGCGGTGAAAGGGATATCCCAGAACCAATAATAGAAGACGGTATAGAGTGTATACCATCTATCCAAGATGAAGTCAGAATATCAATCAATCGGCTGAAGAATAATAAAACACCGATGGGTTACAAGCCGAACTATTCAAGACTGGTGGTCAGATGCTGGTGAGGAGCATGCACCAGCTGATTAGTACAATATGGCTAGAAGAATGCAAGTCCAATGATTGGAACCTCAGCATCCTGTGTCCCGTGCACAAAAAAGAAGATAAGACGATATGTGCCAACTATAGAGGAATAAGTCTCCTTCCCATCACATATAAAGTGCTATCCAGCGTACTGTGTGAACGACTGAAGCCAATGGTCAATGACATTACTGGACCATAACAATGTGGCTTCAGACCTGGCAAATCCACCATAGACCAGATTTTCTCTCTGCGCCAAATCCTGGAAAAAAACCCACGAAACACACATCGACACATTCCACCTATTCGTCGACAATAAAGCCGCATTCAACAGCCCTATCCGTTCAGAGGTGTATAAAGCCATGTCTGCGTTTGGCATTCCTGCAAAATTAATAGGGCTATGCAGGATAACTTCAATTGGCACAAGATCAGCAGTTAGAGTCGGAAAGGACCTCCCGGAGTCCTTTAATACCGAACGAGGATTCTGACAAGGTGACAGTTTGTCGTGTGACCTTTTTAACATCCTGCTGGAAAAGGACATACGTGAGGCAAAAGTGAACAGAAATGACACTCTGTACACCAAACAACACATGTTACTCGTCTACGCCGATGACATCGACATAATGGGTCGAACACTGAGAGCGGTAACATCCACCTTTGAACAAATTGAGAAGGAGTCTGCCAAAGTGGGTCTGGTAGTAAAGGGCGACTAGACCAAGCTGTTGATATCAACGCGCAAGACGTCCAGTAGACTCGGACTAACTGTGGAACTTTAGAACTACAGCTTCGAGGTAGTCAAAGATTTTATATAATTTGGTACCGCCATAAACAAAACGAATGACACGAAACGAATGGAATTCGGTGAATGATAGTGATGGCCAACAGATGCTACTATGGTCTGAGCAAATAACTCAAAAGCAAGGCCACCGCCCGCCAGACCAAACTCACTCTATTTGAAGACGCTGATACTACCAGTGCTGTTATATGGATCTGAAGCATGGGTACTTGCGCAAACATATGAGGCAGCTCTTGGAGTGTTTGAGAGAAAAATTCTCCGAAAGATCTATGGGCCGATCTGCGTTGATGGTGAATATCGACGTCGAATGAACCATGAGTTATACCGGCTATACTCGGACATCGAAATTTTTAGATGTATTGAGCTGCAGCGACTACGTTGGCTTGGTAATGTTGTGAGAATGCATGAAGATGCCCCAGCCCAGAAGGCATATAAAAGCGAACCAGCTGATGGTTCACGCAGAAGGGGAAGACCATGAATAAGATGGAAAGACCAAGTGGAAGACAACATTGCCGAATATGGTCTTTCTAATTGGAAAAACTGCGCAAAAGACCGACGCGCCTGGAAATCTTTTTTAAGCTCGTCTTATGGAACGAGAGTTCTGTCACAAGCCAGCTAAGTAAAGTAAGTAATAGAGGCGTGGATTTATAAAGAATATTTTTTTTCGAAGCCCAATAGAGGCGTGGAATTTTTACGAAGCCCAATAGAGGCGTTGAATTTTTACGAAGCCCAATAGAGTCGTGGAATTTTTTAAGAATATTTTTTCTAAAGCCAAAATTCCTCCTAAATACAGACCGACTTATATCCAAACAGGAAAGTCTTAGAAGATTTTTCTTCTAGTCTACTTGAAGTTCAATGTCTCCCAAAGATTACTTACTTATCATATGTACGAAAGAATGGATGTAAATGTAGACGACGATTACGAATTCGTATTTGGATTTTTCTCAACGACTCCTCGCATAGATTGCGTATTGATTCGCTAGCCTCCTGCCAATTTAGAGATCCTTCACGTGCCATTTTTTCAATATATTTTGGTGGCGATTGAACTTCAAGTAAGGGAGTTTTCTCCAAATATTTCACAGTGAAAACTAAACAAAAAACATAAATTTTAAAATTAAATGAAAATTTATGAAAAAAAAAATACACTCACCTCTATCAATTTCATCTTCAAAGATACGCCACTTGATGCGATTCGTATCGATGGGATCTATGTAACGCGCACACAACAATCCCATTTCTCGTTGTGTCAGGTGTTTACCCAAACCCATATTCGAAAGTGCTCTTTCGAATTGATTACGCGTAACGGTGCCCGTATGTAAAAGGTCAAATCCTTCAAGGAATTCACGAACCCTTATACGATTTTTATGTACATGTTTTTGTAGGCAAAATATAATCTCACAAACATCTTTATTTTCTCGCGGATGATTGCAAAAGTCTTTGAAGACACGCTGAGCTATATTCGTGCCATCGACTGGTGGTAATTCCGGTAAATCCAAATCAATTAATTTCCCCGGAAAATTTTGTATTATTTGCTGAGAGAAAGTAAAGCCATTTGTCATTTTTGCTATAGAATTATATAAAGGAATTGATAGCTTACCATCGAATTATCGGTTAATTTGTTGGTTTTTAAATAATCCAAAATATTCTCCAAATGTTTCATAAATGCCACATAATTGACCATGTAGGAATCTTTCATATAACGTTTGAGAAGTAGCAGAAAATCTTTATCGGATAGGGGAATTTTCATGAAACGCAAAACTCGAGAGAAATGAGATACCGTGACGGTGCCCACATTTTGGGAAATCTGAAAGGAGGATAACAGTCAAAATCGTTTCTAACGATGGTAAAGATACTGAAGAGATTGGTAGTTGTATAAGCGATAACAAATAATGGCCAGTATATATTTCGGGACTTTTGTATACAGTCGTTATAACCAATGTCGATGTATTGAGAATATGGTGTTGATTAAAAATATTTCAATACAAATTATAATAAATCAATACAAAAAATATTTCAATATTTCCCGATTTGCCTTGTTGTCATTTCAAGTTGCTTCGGTCCCACTACGTTTCAGTTCATTATGGGTACAAAAATGTCAATCGGTGTCTTCGGTTCCCATTAATGACAGATGTCGGGGCTCTAGTGTACTTACCAATTCATAATCCTGAAAATATGGCATTAACGGCAGATGAGCAAATTGGGCAATTTTTATTAAAATTAAACATAATTGTCTTCTATCTTCGGGACGGGTTATAACATTGACATGCAAGGGATCATTCCATTCCAAACCAGAGGCAATGTCTTTGGGTTCATTTTTAATGCCACCTAAAAATACATTAAAAATTATCTTTAAAAACGCCACTAAGTTCGATGTGGAAGAACTTTTTTTTTAACCCACCACCATGAAAATCGAAAATCCACCTAAAATCGATCGAGACTGTTATAGAGGGTTTCTCTTAAATAAAATCGAAAATCCACCTAAAATCGATCGAGACTTTTATAGAGGGTTTCTCTTAAATAATTAACTATGAATGAAATTGGATATTCCGTAGGCATCATATGAGATTTATAGTTTTCTAAATTTTTACCCTTTGGGTTTGAAGAAATATTACGATGTACAAAGATTATATCAAATCGGACATTCCATTAGCCTAATATTGGATTTATAAATAATGAACAAATTTACCCTTTGTTGGGGAGGTATCAGAAGGAGTGGACCAATGGGCCCCATCTTCGGACTAAGCTCGGTAAAGATAATAGGTTTTGCAAAGTGTGGTTCAAATCGGAGAATCCATTCGCATGAAAAAAATTTTTAGAAAAATTTTGGCTATTTTATATGGAAGGTGCCAGGAGGGGTGGATCGATATCCTCCATCTTCGAACTTGATCTAAGTTTGGAATAAATATTACTATGTTACTCCCTTCGAGAGTTTGGGTCTAAAACTAATAAATGGTGGTGGGTTTTGGTGGTGGTTGTTGGTACCCAAGTGTTTCTTTTGCTACCTTTTGTGGGGAGTGGGCGATTGTGCTTCTATATTATTATCGGGGCAAGGAGTGCTTTCGTTAAGCAGGTAGGTAAGTTGAGCGGTGTAGGGTTCTGCTAGGTGTTGTATTTGCAGCTTTTCGACATCGAGTCAGTGGGAAGCTATGGGTGGGGAATTTAAACTGCGGCCTAAAAATTAAAGCCCTTTCGATGGGAAAATTCGGTGTAAACCTTCAAAATGCTGCTCTGTCTTTATATGAGGGCTATATTAAAACATGATCCATATCGAAATAGTTTTGCAACCTACTGAGTAGTAAATTACAGCCTCATTTGTGGGAGGTTAAATGGCCTAAAATCTTTAAAATACCGAAAAAAGTGTTTTTAACCTCCAAGAACCCGAAATGCCTAATTAGAGCCACAAAATTCGTTTTAAAACTTCAAAATAACAGAATTTTTTTCTGCAAACATGTTTCTCGCACTCCAAGTTCAGGGAATATCAAATTACTCTTATATCTCAACAATATCGAAAACAGGATGAGACCATTCTTTGTCAATGCTATCCCAACATATGGATCCATATCGAATAGTGTCTGCAAATATTCAGCTTAAACCTTTAAAATACCTAAACTAGGGCGGAACCTTTATATGGGGATTTATATTGAAACATTTCTGCATATATTTCCAATATCCCGGAATGCCGATCTACATCCATTTCAGTAGGAAATTGCGACTAAAAATATCGGAAATGGAGTGGGACGTATGGGCGCTATAACAAAACTTGGATCGATATTGATAATTTTCGGTACAGATATTTTACACCCCATGAGAACTTAGGAAATGTAAATTAGAGGTGTTCAAACATACCAAATAATGGGGGTCCCTAACATGACACTTGGGCCCATATTGATAATATTTGGTAGGCTGAGAATGAGAGAATTTACAACAAGTGCCCAAACTCCCCACAATACCGATATTTTAGTTGATGCGTTTTTGTAAAGAAAACTCTAAAAATTGGACCGATATTGATCATTTTAGTCGGAAGATTTTCTATCCAACGAGAACACGAAATACCAAATTACAGGAGATAAGGCTGAAAAAAGTGCCCAAAGGCTAAAAAATACCAAACATCGAGGGTATTGTTATATTGGTGTCAAAAATGGACCGATATATTCAATGTTAAATATCACAGATCTTAGGTGTCGCAAATGGAATTGCACTCCACCTTATAGGGAATGTTATAAAAATATTCTTAAACAATATATATTTTTTAACTCACCCTCATCGCAGACAACCTTACAAAAATCCCTGTAAATAACACGTCCATCTCGCAAACGGAAATAATCGGTTACTTCGCGCAGCTCAAAATCCGACAGGCCAATAACATTTTTATATTTGCCCAAAATGCTGCTGAAGAGGGATTCTGAAAAAATGAAATTTTTTTAAATAATTTCCCAAATAAAAGTGTATACACACACACCCGAAATTAAACCCTTGCCCTGAGGATCATGTTCACAAAAGTCTTTCTTAATGTCATAACCATAACGAAAAATGGTATCCTGGATTTTTCTACATGCCTTCCAAATTTCATTTAATTTCATGTCGACCTGAAAAGGATACAGGGATAAAACGGAGTTAATGATAGGCTAGGTCGGAGAAAATATTTGGACAATACTAACCCGTTGATCATCTTCCATGTTTAAAAACAACGATACAAGAATTTGTCTTTACGAAAAAACGGAAAATATCTTCAAAATAAATAATTTATTCAAATTAATGTTTTCAATTTTCTTGGCATTAAAAACGTAATTGAAATTATTGACAAATATACGATAAAAATACAGGGTAGAACTATTGCTTAATAATTCGATTTTGAAATGTTGCGAGATTTTGTTTTGATTGATCTTTCCATCGAGTTGGCGGCTTCCCCTTCTGCGTGAACCATCAATCGTAGTGAACGATTTTATATACCTCCATGCTGTAGTTCTCATGTTCCACAATTGGTCTGAGTCTACTGGATGTCTTACGCGTCGATACCATCAATATGGTCTTCTCGCCATTTACTGCCAGTCCCACTTTGGTAGGGTGGTCAAAGGTGGCTGTTTCTGCTCACAATGTTGCAATCATTATATCGATGTCATCGACGTAGACGAGTAACATATCCTGTTTTGTTTACAGAGTGTCATTTCTGTTCACATTTGCATCTCGTACGACCTTTTCCAGCAGGTTGTTAAACAGATAACATGACAAACTGTCACCTTGTCTGAATCTTCGTATTGAAGGGCTCCGAGAGGTCCTTTCCGACTTTAACTGCTGACCTTGTGCCATTTAAAGTTATCCTGCATAGCCGTATTAATCTTGCAGGAATTCCGAACGCAGATATAGCTTTAAATACCTCTGAAAAGGAAGGCCTGTCGAATGCGGCTTTGTAGTCCACGAATATGTGGAATGTGTCGATGTGTTCTTCGGGGGTCATTTCCATGATCTGTCGCAGAGTGAAAATCTGATTAATGGTGGATTTGCCAGGCCTGAAGTCGCATTAGTATGGTCCAATTTTGTCATTGACCATTGGCTTCAGTCGTTTACGCAGTATCCTGGATAGCACCTTATATGCGATAGGAAGGAGACTTATTCCTCTATAGTTGGCACATATCGTCTTGTCTCCTTTTTTGTGCACGACACATAGGATGCTGAGGTTCCAATTATTGGACATGCATTCCTCTAGCCAAATTGTACTAATCAGCTGCTGCATGCTCCTGATCAGCATCTGACCACCGGACTTGAATAGTTCGGCTGGTAATCCATCGGCACCTGCTGCTTTATTGTTCTTCTGCCGATTAATTGCTACTCTGCCCTCATCTTGGCTAGGTGGTATACAATCTCTACCGTCATCTCTTATTGCTTCTGGGGTACCTTCTTCGCCGTCACTACTTGATACCAGAAGCTTTTCAAAATGCTCCTCAACATGCTGTCTGTATCTGTTACTAGGTTTCCTTCTTCATGTCTACCGGAAGATGTGCCTGCAGCAAAGCCTGGTAAAATTTCCGGGCTTCATTCTGACTCCTGTACATCTCGATTTGTTCCCGCTCCCGCTCACGTTTTTCTTGTTCTTTCTTTTTTTCTGAAAATACTTTTCTCCTCTCTCTTTTTTCTCCCGATAATTCTCCATCACATTACGTGTTGCTACTGTCTGCAGGGTTGCCCTATACGCTGCGTAGCATTACGACAATCCTGATCACACCATGGGTTTCTTGATGTTGGTTTTTTGGTACCCAAGTGTTGCTTTTGCTGCAATTGTAGGGAGTGGGCAATTCTCTGGCATTGTGCTTCTATGTTGTTATCAGGACAAGAAGTGGTTTCGTCAAGCAAGTAGGTAAGTTGAGCGGAATAGGTTTCTGCTATCTGTTGTGTTTGCAGCTTTTTGACGTCGAGCTTTCGTGTTGTGTTAGATCGCCCCTTTGCTGTTACATTAAAACGGATGCGAATCATGACCACAATTGCGGTGGAAGAGGCTTTGCATTATTAAAGCCAATCAGAGCCGTTGTTTGGTATCTATTATCCCCTACGTCACCCATTCGATTCTGCTGGACGTTCAAAAAATATTCTTTATTCCATGACAACTCATTTTTAAAAAATAGTTATCATCAGAAAATCATTTCACTATCCTTACAACTTTTCACAAAAGATTTGTTGGGGCGAAGGCCCGTTGTATGTGGGTTTAAACCGGATATTAAAAAAAAAGTGTATAATAATTACTCACTAACTTCTACATAATTTATAAACTCATAGTAATTCCTAACAATCTTTTTTTCTTCTTAATTTTTTTGCAACTTCATTCTTTATAGCACTCGGTTTCATTGTTTCAATTTCGAAGTTGTAGTCGAGGGGTCCGTCGTCCAATGGTGTTGCTTTAAGTAATAAAAATACACTTTGGTCTGTGGTCTTTGTAACAATAATAACAATAAACGCAAGTAAAAAAGTCAACTTCTTGTAATTAACAAATGAATTTAAGATTTTCTTGGCTGTTTTTTCCAAAGGCTAAACTTGTTCTTTTCCGTTGTCGTCACTGCAGCTCAGAAAGAGAAAAAAAAAACAAATCTGAAAAATAGTTTGAGGGTGTCATAATACTTAGGCAAAGTACCCTCATTTATTGGGTGGAGATGTGTGTGATTTTTTTACACTCTACAACATGCAATATAGAGTTTCGATATTTTCAGTTTTAATATTATATATTTGTTGAATATTCCAAAAAGAAACATTTATTTAATTGCCCCTTTTCATACTACCGACACCATCGGTCGATTTGAGACTTTTTAAAAAAATCAAATAAGGTTCAAAACGCAGCAGGCTTTGTATGTTCGACATGACCCACCAATAAAAACCCAAGTTTTATTTCCTTTTATTATTAATTTTCTTTCATTACGTTCAACTTTATTGTGTGACTGAAAAATGGAGGGAAGTGAAATGAAATTGTCACCATTCCTTGTGACCAGTTGTGTTGGTAGCTTGTTTCCACTTTTTTGTCATTTGAGCCTTTTGTTCATTATTGAAAAAGAAATGGCTAAAAAATTAACTCAAATGACGGGGCGTAAAGTATTATGAATTCCTATTACAAAGGCGTTTAATTATTCGGATGATAAAAAACCAACAACGAAAAAAAAATATCTTGTCAAGGACCAGGAGGATTTTTCAAATAATATTTTTGAAGAGCTATTCCAAACATAGAAGTGGATTTTTTTTCAACGACTATCACAACCCTAGGCGTGGATTTTTTAAAGAATATTTTTTTAACGACTATCACAACCCTAGGCGTGGATTTTTTAAAGAATATTTTTTCAACGACTATCAAAACCCTAGGCGTGGATTTTTTAAAGAATATTTTTTCAACGACTATAAAAACCCTAGGTGTAGATTTTTTAAAGAATATTTTTTCAACGACTATCAAAACCCTAGGCGTGGATTTTTTAAAGAATATTTTTTCAACGACTATCAAAACCCTAGGCGTGGATTTTTTAAAGAATATTTTTTCAACGACTATCAAAACCCTAGGCGTGGATTTTTTAAAGAATATTTTTTCAACGACTATCACAACCCTAGGCGTGGATTTTTTAAAGAATATTTTTTCAACGACTATCAAAACCCTAGGCGTGGATTTTTTAAAGAATATTTTTTCAACGACTATCAAAACCCTAGGCGTGGATTTTTTAAAGAATATTTTTTCAACGACTATCAAAACCCTAGGCGTGGATTTTTTAAAGAATATTTTTTCAACGACTATCAAAACCCTAGGCGTGGATTTTTTAAAGAATATTTTTTCAACGACTATCAAAACCCTAGGCGTGGATTTTTTAAAGAATATTTTTTCAACGACTATCAAAACCCTAGGCGTGGATTTTTTAAAGAATATTTTTTTGGAAGTCAACGACTATCAAAACCCTAGGCGTGGATTTTTTAAAGAATATTTTTTCAACGACTATCAAAACCCTAGGCGTGGATTTTTTAAAGAATATTTTTTCTCAATAGCAATTCTTGCGCACATTTTTCATTACGACGTCTTTACCGCTCACTTGTCAACCGTCATAAAACTGTCTTGCAGGTACACAAACAACACGCTATTTAGTTTGAGCTTACCCCTTCCATTCCGCCAGAGACTTCTTCTCGTAAACAAATTACGCATCATAAAACTTTGTCGTCACACCGTTAGGCAAACACACAATGCTCTTGCTTGCATTGTTGTTTTCAATCACATCACTAACGGTGTACGCATGCTCATGGGGATTTCTCTGCTCGACCTTTTTCGCTGCCTGGTCCTCTGCTGCCACTACTTGTGCGCGAACTATTTTATTAGCTACCGGCGTCGTTGTTGTTGCTGAATTTTTCTTTGTGCGTCTCGGCAATCGCACACTTCTTTTGTTGTTGTTGCTTTTCACTCTTTGCTCGAGTTTTCCAATCTGCCTCTTCAATAGAAATCTCCTACCAAACACATTGGTGGACCAGCACTGATTTCCTTCGCAGATTTTACCAGCCATAATTGTA